AATCAAACGTCGTATTAATTTAATACATGAATAACTTATTTCATATCTACCTACCAAACGTCATATAAGTTATACAAAAATTAATACATAATAAACGTGTTTCTTATCCAACTACCAAATGATCCCTACACATTTATCATATGTACCGATAATAGATATAAATTTTTTAACATGGTGAGAAAAGAAAAAATCGTAAAAAGTTTAAGACATGAAACACCAACAGAAATATTATTCTTTCCATTCTAATTTTTTTTGGTCTTGTTTTGACGTAGCACAAAATTTAAGCAAACAATAAAGTCGGAAAAATTGCGTAATTTGCAAACATGTGATATGTATTTACAATGCACCATGATAATTTGAAAGAACTACAATTTATAACTATAGTTAGGGTTTTGTCGCTATTTTCTCTCTCCTCCTCGCCTCTCACTGCCTCCTCTCTCCCAACACAAATACAAATGATAACAATCAATTATACAAACACAAATATTAACAGTCAATTATACAAATGATAATAATCCATTACAATAAGAGTCAACAATATCTATATCCTTAATTTTCAGTGAAACAAAATACAAATACATATGTATTCACTGATACATATGATAACAATCAATTATACAAATACAAATGTTGAACTTGATACAACATTGATACAAATGATAACAATTAATTATACAAATACAAATGTTGAACTTGATATAATTGTAATTCGTTGATACAATTTACATTGATACAAATTGTACTCAGTAATATAATTGTATTCATTGATACATATACATACTAATTAGTATATACAGTTATCCAGCAAATAAACAAATACAGTCATTGATATATATACATATTAGTTACATATATACAATTATCTAGTAGATATACAAATACAATTTGTCTATCTCCTCTCTTTGCCCTCTCTCACTCGCCTCTGTCATTCTCGCTCACCTCTCTCCCTTCTAAGATGTAGCTATGAATCCTAATTAAGCAAACTTGAGTTATTTTGCTTCATTATGTTATAAGTCTTTGCAATTTTTGAAAGTTCCTTAATAAAGAATACTTTTGAATTTTTTGGTTTTAAATTAAAGAAATATAGAATGTACCAAAATTCTCATAACTTTGTGGTTAAACATGTCATGTGGAAAATTAAATTAATGAATTATCAAAAAATAAGAACGAAATATTTTTTAAAACAGATTAAAAAGAAAAGTATTGACAAATGATATGAAACAGAGTGAGCATGTGAATATCTGATTTAAGCTGAAGAAAGGCTTGATTATCGACCACTTTATGCTATTTGCTGTCAGTGAACAGTTACTTCAGTTATTAGTATTGGTTGAAAATGAGGTTCTTTATACTCACTTCATAAGACTAAAGAAAGGAAATTTCAAATAGGAAAATGCATTTCACATGCGCTTACCATCGTGCTAAAAGCTATAGCTAATAATAAAAATACAATTTTATTTCTTAACTAAGTCCACTAAGCAAGCGTCATGTTTGATCATGACTCCGATCCGGACACCTCGTGGGCCTTGCCATAGATAGGATGTTGACATTACTCAACAATCCCCCTCCCAACACAACACTTGTTAGACAATTGCCATTTTTTCCAGCTTATTATTTTTACTGTTTTTTACTTATTTCAGTTTAGTGCTTTCTATTTTCTAGCCACACTTAGTCAACTTTAGTTGCTCAACTTTCTAAAGTTAGTGGCCCCTTTAATGGCTGTTAGTGGCCCCTTTTATGATTGTTAGTGGCACATGTTCTTATTTAGTTTTAACATACACTTTGTAAGTGGCTACTAGATAGGAAATGATTAGGCTTTTCCTTGTATAAATTCAGATCTTATGCAAATTAATATATAGCTGGAATTTCATAAATTCACTTCTATTTTTATTCTTCAAATCAGTTTCTTGAGTATTTTGTTCTAACAGTGGCATCAGTGCCTCTAGTTGATCTTACAGGACCAAAAAGTTTTAACCTACAACACAAATGGCATCCAACAACCTACCTTTAAATCCACCATTCACTTTCACCGGTGAAAATTAACAAAATCTGGTCTGTGAAGATGCAAACTCTTTTGGAATTATGAACTTTGGGAAACTGTGATGGAAGATAAACCACTTGCTGCAGCAAATCCTACCTTGACTCAAATCAAATCCAACAACGAAGAGAAGGCAGAGAAATCTAAAGCCAAGTCGCTTATGCAGAATGATGTGGCATATTCTATGTTTTACAGAATCATGGCTTGCAAAACAGCAAAAGAGGCTTGGGATAGGTTGAAAGAAGAATATCAAGGCAGACATAGAACACGTCAAATGCAAGTGTTGAACCTAAAAAGAGAGTTCGAGTGCTTGAATATGCAGGACGATGAAACAATCAGTAAGTATGCTGATCAAATCTCCTTAATTGTTAATAACATTAGACTTTTTGGTGAAGAATTTACAGACAAACGAATTGTGGAGAAAGTTCTTGTGACTCTTCCTGAAAGGTTTGAATCGAAGATTTCCTCTCTTGAAGAATCGAAGGACCTGGGCAAACTTTCATTAGGTGAACTAATGAGTGCTCTTCAAGCACAAGAGTAAATGAGGACTATGAGACGGGACAAGTTCACTGAAGGAGCTTTCTCTGTACAAAAACAATATTTGGAAAGGAAAGCAAACAGGTCAACCAAAAGATAAGGGCAAGCATGATGGAGGAAATAATTAATAGTGGAGATGTGAAGCAGAAGTTCCCTGTGTGCAACATTGTAAAAGAACTACACATCTGGAGAAGTATTGTTGGTGGAGGGTCGATGCTATATGCGGCAACTGTAAGCAGACGGGGAACATATCTAAGGTCTGCAAATTAAGAGCAACGGCCTCTGGTGCTTTGCAAGCACAAGTAGCAGAAGTTGCAGATGCACATGAGAAGCAACTCTTTACAGTTTCATACTTTTCAATCAATGAATCTTCTGATTCATGGCTTCTTGATAGTGGTTGCACACATCACTTGTGCAATGATGCTGAAATGTTCAAATTCCTCGATGATACATACAAATCTAAAGTAAAAGTGGGAAACAGTGAGGCAGTAAATGTCAAAAGCAGAGGGACATTGTCTATCTCAACAATATCAGGTATCAAAACTATTCCTGATGTTTTGTACACACCTGATATGAGTCAAAATTTGTTGAGTGTTGGACAAATGCTTGAAATTAATTATTCTCTGCATTTTAAGAATCGTGAATGTGTTGTTTTTGACCCTTCTGAAGTAGAATTATTTTATGTTAAGATGAGAAACAGAATGTTTTCAGTTGATTGGGAGAAAATAACTGAGCAGGCTTACACTATTACTTCACAAACATGTACAAACCTATGGCACAAAAGGTTTGGTCACTTCAATCTGAAAAGCATCGCAGAGATGAAAAAGAAGGAGCTAGTGGAAAATATCCCTGAATTTCTTTCTAATGCTCAAGTTTGTGAAACTTGCCAATAGGGAAAGCAAACAAAATTGCCATTTCAAGCAAATCAAGTATGGAGAGCTAACCAGAAACTTCAGCTCATTCATATAGATGTTTACGGCCCAATGAAAACAGATTCATTGAGTGGTAACAAATACTTTCTCCTCTTTATTGATGAGTACACCAGAATATGTTGGGTTTATTTCATTAGACCGAAGAGTGAAGTCTTTGATGTTTTTAAACAATTTAAAGATTTAGTAGAAAATCAATGTAATCTTAGTATTAAGGCTTTAAGGTCTGACAATGGAGGAGAATATACTTCTTCTCAGTTTGTGGAGTTTTGTAATAGCACAGGTATTGAACGCCAATTGACATTACCATACACTCCACAACAAAATGGTGTGTCTGAAAGGAAGAGCAAGACAGTAATGGAGATGGCCAGATGTTTTTTGCTCGAAAGAAAGATCCCTAATCAGTTTTGGGCGGAGGCAGTCAATACCTCTGTATATTTGCTGAACAGATTGCCTACTAAGGCCTTGCAGGACATGACTCTATATGAAGCTTGGTGTGGGAACAAACCATCAGTACACCATCTCAGAATCTTTGGGTGTATATATTATTATTGAGTTCCAGAAACAAAGAGGACTAAGCTGGACAACAAGGCTCATAAAGGCATATTTATGGGTTATAGTTCATCCAAAGGTTACAGGATTTTCTGTTTGAAATCAGAAAAACTAATTCTCAGCCGAGAAATAAAGTTTGATGAAGCAGCTGGTTGGGATTGGAAAAATCAGAAAACCTCTTATTCTGATTTATTTTCAAAAGAGCAGGTTCAACTTTCAGAAGATGAACTAGTGGATGATGTACCAGTGAGGGGAACTCGATCCTTAAAAGATGTCTATCAGCGGTGTAACTTGGTTACCTCTGAACCAACAAGCTATGATGAAGCACAAGACTCTCAGGCATGGAGGAGAGCTATGCAAGATGAACTAGACATGATCGAGAAGAACGGAACCTGGCAGCTTGTTGACAGACCTAGAAATCGCAAGGTGATTGGTGTAAAATGGATTTTCAAGACAAAACTCAATCCTGATGGAACAATTTGCAAACATAAGGCTAGATTCATGATGAAGGGATACGCACAACAATATGGTGTGGATTATCAGGAAACATTTGCTCCTGTAGCAAGGTATGACACAATCAAGCTTATTCTTACATTTGCATCTCATAGTTCCTGGTAGATTCATCAACTTGATGTTAAATCGTCTTTTTTGAATGGTTTGCTTGCTGATGAGATCTATGTAGAGCAACCTGATGGTTTCTCAATTTCTGAAAAAGAGGATCAAGTTTATCTCTTAACGAAGGCCTTGTATGGCCTAAAACAAGCCCCTAGGGCATGGTATGAGAGGATGGACAATCATCTCATTCAACTTGGCTTTAGTAGAAATCAAAGTGAAGGTACTCTGTATGTGAAAGTCACTGCAAGTGAGTCCTTAATTGTCTCAATTTATGTGGATGACATGCTTGTGCATGAAGCAAAATTGAACTAATCCAAAGGTTCAAGGATGAAATGGAGAAAATCTTTGAAATGACTGATCTTGGAGTCATGAAGTACTTTCTTGGCATGGAAGTGTTGCAGTCCAGTGATGGAATTTTCATATGCCAGCAGAAATACATTTCGGATATTCTAAACCGGTTCAAAATGCAAGACTGCAAACCTGTGAGTACTCCAATCTCTACTGGTGTGAAGCTTGGCAAGGATGAGGATTCCGAAAAAGTGGATGATAGTATGTATAGAAGCTTAATTGGCAGTCTTCTATATCTAACCGCAAGCAGACCTGACATTCTATTTGTTGTAAGTTTGCTCTCTAGGTTCATGCATTCGCCTAGAGACACATACTTCACAGAGGCTAAAAGAGTGTTAAGGTATATTAAAGGAACCAGCAAGTTTGGAACCTTTTTCCCAACATTTGTCGAAGTAACTATGAACCTAATCGGGTACTCTGATAGTGATTGGGGTGGCAGAGTTGATGATTCCAGAAGCACCTCTGGATATCTTTTTTGTTTCGGGACAAGTTGTTTTAGGTGGAGCTCTAGGAAACAAGAAATTACAGCTCAATCAATAGTAGAAGCTGAGTACATAGCTGCTGCATCTGCTGTGAATCAAGCTATCTGGCTAAGGAAGATGTTGAAGGACTTGGGTGATGAACAAACATAAGCTACCAAGATCATGTGTGACAACAGTTCAGCAGTTTCAATCTCAAAAAAACCAGTGTTTCATGGTCAAACTAAGCATATCAAAGATCAAGTTTCATTTTTATTAGAGAAGTCCAACAATCTAATGAAGTGTTGCTTGTTCATTGTTCATCTGAGAACCAGCTAGCTGGCATTTTCACTAAGTCATTGCCAAAGGAAAGGTTTGAAGATCTAAGGCAATGAATTGGTGCTTGCCACAAAAATGCCAAGGAGGAGTGTTAGACAATTGACATTTTTTCCAGCTTATTATTTTTACTGTTTTTTACTTATTTCAGTTTAGTGCTTCCTATTTTCTAGCTAGACTTAGTCAACTTTAGTTGCTCAACTTTCTAAAGTTAGTGGCCCCTTTAATGGCTGTTAGTGGCCCCTTTTATGGTTGTTAGTGGCACATGTTCTTATTTAGTTTTAACATCCACTTTGTAAGTGGCTACTAGATAGGAAATGGTTAGGTTTTTCCTTGTATAAATTCAGATCTTATGCAAATTAATATATAGCTGGAATTTCATAAGTTCACTCTATTTTTTATTCTTCAAATCAATTTCTTGAGTATTTTTGTTCTAACAACACTTACCATCATGCCAAAAGCTATATATTCCTCAAAGAACAGCCTTTCTGCTATTATAAGAACCAAAACATGGTAACTTCTAGGTGGCACTTATTTGAAAATTAAGTTCACAAACTCTGTTTAGTTGTTCACAGTTTGCAAAAAGTTTTAAAAACCATTTTGCATACTCTGATTTTGAAAATTTTCAACCAAATGCCTATACATGTTCACAACTCATGTTTGCTTGTTTGAATCACTTTCTTGCACATGGTATGAAGGAGATTGCACCTTTCCAAGAGAGAAAATGCCAGTACTATTATTGTTTTTTATAGCCTTTCAAATGATAAGAATCAATCCATCCAATCAAAATTGTTTTTTCTTGGTTAATGTACTAGGCAGTTGATTATCCTGCTTTTATTTTTTATTTTATTTTATGATTGTGGTGTTCGGATGAGCTTTTGCTTACTTTGACTAATTTCACGAGATACCTACCACCTCCCACCAACAAGAGCTATCAGGTTATTGTGCTATTTGTTGTCAGTGAATAGTTACTACTGTTGTTGAAAATGAGATTTCTTATACTTCATAAGACGAAAGAAAGGAAGTTTCAAATTGCATTTCACACAACAGATTGACTATTCACAGAATGAGTATCAATTTTCAGAAAGTAGTCCATCATGCAGCCAGTTTCTCATCATCAAGAATGCCTCTTCTGCATCTTTATCGTCTTCTAAAGATTGAGGTCGATGGGCAAAACCATGACCCCTTCCTTCAAATACCACCACTTTGCAACCATTCGCGTTATTTTCAACCTCCTTCAACACATTCACAGGACAAAGTGGATCATTGTCACCAGAAATAAGTAGTAGTGGTACCTCAATCTTGCTAGCAACAGATAAGTCGATCCGTGTGCCATAGAATGAGATCCCAACACCAAACTCACTACCCTGGTCTTGAGCCAATATGTCTATTAACAGGCCACCGCCAAAGCAAAATCCAATCACTCCAAACTTCTTTGATATTCCTGCAGCCACAAATTCATCGGCCATCCATTTAGTCGATGTGAAAATGTCTCTCACAACCTGTTGTTTGTCTACACTACCGATCCATTGCTCAAACAAAGCTTTGGATTCATCCTTTCTCCATGGATTTCCACGGAACATATCTGGTACCAGAACACTGCAAAATCATTCAACAAGGAATTCAATTCATGGTTGATTCTTTTGCACATGGTATGAAGTATATATGATAACCAAAGGAAGCACCTTTTATAAATAGAGAAGGTATACGATGACTTACTTGTATCCATTGCATGCAACACGGTATGCAAAATCTCTCGTAAATGAGTCCTCAAATCCAAAGATATCAGATAAGAGCAAAATGCCAGTACCATTGTTGTTCTTTACAGCATTACAGAGATAAGCATCAATACTATCAACTCCATCCCCAATGGAAAGCTCAACTCCGTTAACTAGTTCACAAGCCTCATCCTCTACTTTCACATTGCAATTAAAGACTTTGTATTTCTTAGTCTTTCTGAAGGATAACGAAATAGTACCCCAACACTTCACATAGTTTCTCTGGACAATAACTGAAGCATGACAGTCAGCCCTTCATCGAGAATCATCATATAATTTTAAGCAACTCAATCACAACTTATAAAAACACTATTACTTTGTTTCTTTGTTAGTGTGTGTATTCTTTGAATCTACTAGGAAATATGGAACGACGAATGGAGATTTTTAGAACAACTGAGCTTTTAATTAGAAGATAGTACTTATTTTCAGAACAGCAGAGTTTAGGGTAATACAAATTTGTCTCATATTCAGTTTTCTATTGTGGGAAGAGCATGGTCTCAGCAACAAGAAGCTAAACATATAACCAATTGCATAGGATTCACAATATTCGTGAAACTAATCAAACATGAGGCACTGTTATTTATTTATAGCTTCTGAGGCAATGAAACACAAACGGAAAACTCCTTATTTTCTGCTACAGCAGTCAAGAACCACAATTTATTCTACACAAAAGACAATCTAACATTTTTGTTTGTTTTCGAAAACCTTCACTGACATTGGAAACTCGAAAGTTTCCAATCTTGTGGTCTTGTTTCAATGACCTTCTGTTTTTATTGAGTCAGTCATGCAGGAACAATCAGGGCAAGGACATTCAACTTTCTCATTAATAGAACTAGTCATGCACGAGCAATCAGGACAAGGACATTCAACCGTAGTTAGCAAATTTCTTGTTCTTGGGAAGTTTAAGTTCACAGAGTATGTTTTGGGTAAGAAGCTTGACTCAATGGTTCCCGGAGTTTCGACATGACTCTCAATTGACTCGCTCATGCTGACATAGAAGCTAAGTGCAACAACCATGAAAATCAAGGCAACTGAGATATTCTTAGCCATGGATAAAACAATTTGAGTTCAGTGTGCCAGTGTAATACTTTTGCTATTATTGATGTGGGATGTTGCCCAAAGAAATTGAATTGTTGAAATTTATAGTGATAGATTGCTAATATTGTTCGATAATAACATTGAATAATTAGAATATATCTATGTTATATTAGAGTATATGCTTCTTGGAATTAGTGTTCACCAAAGCAGTGATTTCTCTTGGAAAGTTAAAAGATGCTAGGGATGCCGCCTATGGAGCATAAAAGAAAAGTGAGTCGTACAAATTATCCAAAAGATGCTAGGGATGCCGCCTATGGAGCATAAAAGAAAAGTGAGTCGTACAAATTAGGCCAAGCCAAAGGAAGTAATATTTAGTCGTACATGATATTAGACAGATAATTTATATGTATCATTCAGAAGCTAAATACTAAGCAAAGTCAGAAAAAACATACCGAAAATGAAAGATGAAAAGGAGCATCAAGTGGTGTCTCTCTTCTTTTAAGGAGACTGCTCGTAGTCGTTCTTGGAGCTGTTGAACACACAAGGGCTGACTCCATTCTTCCAACTCTCTCTTCTTGTAATCAAGTAAAGATTTGTGTCAAATACAGAGAGAAAAAAAGAAAAGAAAAGAAAGGTGAACTAGTGGACAATGGAGAAAATATCTTTGCCTTCAACAATTAGAACCTCAAATGTTAAATATCTCTATGTTTTATCTTCTTTCTTTGCCAACAAGGACCTCAATCCTAGATAATTTCACAAATGACAGTCAATAGAGTCTTCCTTTTTTTTTTTTCCAACTCATTGACACATTTAAAATTTTGCCTACGTGAGTTCGACAAAGTATGGCCATTCTGAATTAAAGATAGCATAATAATGGTGTTAGGTGGGGTGATAGGTATCCGATGGAATAGTAGAACTGCACCTAAACTAACCCAACCATTTATAAAACGGAAAAGGGTCAAAATTGCCCCTAAACTATGCGAAATAGACCACTTATACCCTTCGTTACATTTTAGGATAAAAAATGCCTCCGCCATGATCCTAAGCCAGGGCGAATTTAAGTTTAAAAAATGGGTCACCGGCATGGTCATCCAAAAAAATTCGATATATCTACTTGTATAATTCGTAAAATATATCAAATAGCAACGAAAGGAACCTATGATCAGAAATGACTGGATGGCTCACTGGTTTGGGTGTTTGTTTTCCACTGTGAATCGATTCCCAATTGCTACATTACTTTCTTTTAAAATTAAAAAGCACGGGAGTCACCCTCTTTTTTAAAAAATAAAATAAGAAATGGAGCTTTCTTTTTACTTCTTATTTTACAAAAAAAAAATTAAAAAATAACCTAAAGTTAGGTTCCATTGCAAGCATTTTATTTCACAAAAAACACAAAGTAGCGCTCGAACTTCCCAGGTAAAAAAACTCATTTCTTCCTTCTTTTTCGTTTTTTCAACTGAAATCACCATTCTTAGTAAGCAAACTAGCAAAATCAATTATAATATTTTAGATCTTATCTTACGTGCAATGATCAGCAGCGGCTCAAACGCACAAGTGGTTTAAGACAAAATCAAACCGAGGCCTTAAACTTTCAAGAAAAACTAATATTCTTTTTAGGGAAAAGGATAAAAAAAAAATGCTCTTAAACTATGTGGAAGGAACAAAAATGTCCTCCATTTATAGTTTGGCTAAAAAATGCTCTTACCGTCAATACTTTGGTTCAAAAATGCCCATGCAGTCAATACTTTGGTCCAAAAATGCCCCTATAGTTATTAAATAGGTCAAAAAAGTTTTTTATTTTTCCTTTTTAAACACATCTTCCTAATTAAAATATTATTAAAGAACCATGTTCTTGTTTTCTTTTTCCTTTTTAAACACATATTCTTCCTAATTAAAATATTATTAAAGAATCATGTTCTTATTTTCTTTCTTTTAAAATCACTTTAACAAATAAAAATGTAGGAAATATTTTTTTTCTTCTTAATCTCATTTTATCAATTAAAAAAAAAAAATCATGTACCA